GGAAAAAAGTTGGAAATCTTTCTGGATTTTTATTGACATGGGCTATCACATCTACTGAAGGTGCGTGAAGGAGGAATGAAAGAGAAGAGACTAGGAAAAGAGAGAGAACAGACAGAGATTTAAATTCTTTACTGCCCGAACTTGGGTCTAATTCTTGCTGTTCTAGCAGTTCTGCAAGGCAGAAACTTAGTCCCCAATTCTGTCCCGCAACCTCAGCATTCAAAGTTGAGAGACCCTCATTTGCTCCCCTCATGAGGGCCATAACACTTTGCTTACAATTTATATGACATAATACATCAGAGGCTTGATCCGCCACTTCATCATTTTACCAAAACTATCTGCCTTCAATGTTCAACTGTATCCAATTTTTATGGAACTGTGCAGGAGGCCAACTCCATCTCTAGGCAGCCAGCCTGAAGGCAATGAGCCAAATTAACCCTGCCCTCCTACCCGTAATATATTTGAGGAGAATTCTCAAGCTTCCCTTAGGAACTTACTTTAGAATTCATAATACAACCAAACTGTCTTTTATCTCCTTTATAACTTTCCATCTGTACCACATATTTTATACACTATCACTCAGCCATTCACCCACCCATCCATCCAATTAAATGTGTCAAGCAGTTCCAGGAACAGAACAACTGATTGCCCTACCCTTGTGGATTCCTTGTTATGGAGCAGGTTCTGTGCCAGGTGCTGAAATCCCTGTACTCAGTGACCCTCAAATGTCCACGGAATGACATGAACTTACCTCTTTGAACCTGGGTGACTTTTTATTTTATCATTTTTATCAGTAAAGGCTAGAGATAACACAGATGACTGGACATGGGGAAAAATTTAACAATATATCATATGTCAATGAAATGTAATGATAAATATAACGATAGCTATGGAAGGACGAAGAAGTATGCTTAAATAGCTCTAAATGAAATAAACAACACTAATATCAGAGCTGGTCTCTGAGAAGAGGAACCAGGGAAAAAGAAGTCTGTGAGGTGAGGGAAACTTTTTTACTATATACTCTTCAGTGAGCATTTATAAAATTGGTACTTCCACATGCAAAGACCTTACACCCCTCACAAAAATCAACTCAAAATGTATCCCAAACCTAAATGTAAAACACAAAACTATAAAACTCCTAGAAGAAACATAGGAGAAAATCTAGATGACGTTAGATATGGTAATGACTTTTTAAAACCAACATCAAAGACACAATCCATGAAAGAAAGAATTTATAAGCTGGACTTCTGTTCTGCAAATACAGTGTCAAGAGAATAAGAACACAAGCAACAGACTAGGACAAAATATTTGCAAAGGACACATCTGATAAAGGACTGTTATCCAAAGTATACAAAGAACTCAACACTCAATAAGAAAACAAGCAACCTAATTAAAAAATGGTCAAAACACATTAAAGGACACCTCACCAAAGTAGACAAAAAGATGACAAATAAACCTATGAAAAGATGTGCCACATTACGTGTCATTAGAGACATACAAATTAAAACAACAATGAGATATCACCACACACCTATTAGAATGCCAAAATCCAGAACATTGACAACACCAAATGCTGACAAGGATGTGGAGCAAAAGCAACTCTCATTCATTGCTGGTGAGAATGGAAAATGATACAGCTACTTTGGAAAACATTTGGCACTTTCTTACAAAACCAAACATACTCTTGCCGTATGATCCAGCAATCATGCTCTTTGGTATTTACCCAAAGGAGTGAAAACATATATCCACAGAAAAAACTGTACAAAGATGTTTATAGCAGGTTTATTCACAATTGTGAAAACTGGGAAACAACCAAGATGTCCTCAGTAGGTGAATAGAAAAGTGTGATACATCCAGACAATAGAATATTATTCAGTGCTAAAAAGAAATGAGCTATCAAACCGTTAAAAGATGTGGAGGTAACTTACAAGCATATTACTAAGTGAAAGAAACCCTTCTGAAAGGCAACAGACTGTGTGATTTCAACTATATGACACCTTGGTAAAGGTAAAACATGGAGACAGTAAAAAGATCAGTGGTTGCCAGGGGTTGAGGAGTGGAGGAGGGATGAATAGCATAGGAGCACAGGAGATTTTTAGGGCAGTAAACAACCCTGTATGACACTGCAATGGTGGATACATGTCATTATAAGTTTGTCCAAACCCATAAAGTGTATAGTACCAAGAGTGAATCCTAAGTAAACTATGCAGTCTGGGTGATAATGATGTGTCAATGTAGATTCATCAATAGTAATAAATGTATCAGTCTGGTGAGTGATGTTGATAATTGTGGAGGCTATGCGTGTGTCGGGGCAGAGAATGTAGGGGAAATCTCTGTACCTTCCACTCAATTTTTCTGTGAATCTAAAACTTCTTTAAAAACTAAAGTCTATAAAACATATGATGCTTGGGGTCTGGCCCCATGGCCGAGAGCTTAAAGTCCACTGCACTCCACTTTGGCGGCCCAGGTTCACAGGTTCAGATCCCAGACGTGGACCTACTCCACTCACCAGCCATGCTGTGGCAGTGTCCCACATATAAAGTAGAGGAAGATTGGCACAGATGTTAGCTCAGGGCGAATCTCCCTCAGCAAAAAAACAAAAGAGGAGGATTGGCAACAGATGTTAGCTCAGGGTCAATCTTCCAAAAAAAAAAAAAAAAAAAAAAAATGCCGTGCTTGTATTATCATTTTAAAAATTGTTAAAACATAATAGCATTTTTAAAAAAATATTACTAATAGTCATTTCTATTTCCTCCAATTGAATAGGAAAAGTTCTATTTTTATTTCTTTTGGTTTGTTTTATTTTTTGTTTCTTTTGTTTTAGATAATACTACAAAAAAGAGACAACAAAGCAAATATACAAGGTAAAAGCCTGGTCTCCAAGCACAAGTAGTAAGGATATAAAGATTGTATTAATAATCTATAATAGGATACAGTAGCAGAGCTCTCCATAAACCTACAAAGGTACATATTCACAGTTAACTATAAACCCTGTAGGCATGTTCATGGATAGGTTTATATTTAAATATTTTTTAGATTATAATATTCAACATGCATATATAGAATATTTTAGGAATTATATCCAATGGTCTAGCAATATTTGTGATGGCTATATTTACTTAAATGAGATTATTCAATTTATTTTACTTAGTGATCACTAATTTTGCACTATCTTTTGTTCTTGCTTTTAGCTCATTCCTTGATTAACTGAAATATGTTTGACTAGTTGTCTCAGAATATATACATATTATAACGCATGAAGTGTTGTATATTAAAAGATTTTTTTGCCTTGTGTGGTTGTGTTAAAAAATTAAGATCATGTAAGTCCTTCAGGTTGTTTCCAGTTCAGGGCTATTACAAATAAAGCTGCTATGAATATTTGTGTACAAGTCTTTGTATGAACAGTTGTTTTTATTTATTTTGTTTGGGTAAATACTTAGGAGTATGTTGGTTGGGGTATATGATAGGTGTACGTTAAACATTATTTTTAAAATTGCAAAACTGTTTTCCCAAATCTTTCTTCCATTTTGCATTTGACTAGGAGTGTATGAGAATTCTGGTTGCTCCACGTCCTTGATAACATTTGGTACGGCTGACCTTTAATTTCAGCAATTTTTGTAATGGTATTTCATGTGGTTTCAACTTGCATTTCCCTAATGACCAGTGATGGTGAACATCTTCTTATGAGTTTATTGATCATTTGCACACCTTCTTGTGAAATATCTATTAAAATTAATTTCATTTTTTAATTGAGTTTTATGTCTTTTTATTATTGACCTGTAAAAATTCTTCATAGAGTCTGCATACAAATCCATTATCGTATATAGCTGTTGCAAGTATTTTCTTTCAATCTGGGGCTTGCATTTTTCATTTTATCAGTAGTGCATTTTGAGACTAAATATATATATTTTTTATTTTGACGAGGTGTATACAATCAGAGTAGAGACTTTGTGAGGTCAAGTGATCAACGAAGTTTTAGCTCAGGTCCATTTCACTGGGGCCTAGTGGGCCCCTGAAATCATTCTGTGGTTATTTCCCTGGTTGCAGAATGCATAATTGGAATAGATATATTCAGCCACTGGCAGAACTCCTTGCTTCAAGATGGTCAGTCTTTTGTTCTATTCAGACCAACTGACTGGATGAGGCCCACTCATATTATGGGCCAGTTTTTGCTGTGCAACCAGTTAGGTTCAAAAGAGTCAGTAAACTTGTGCCTTAGTTTGGGTGAAGAGGAGATATCTTTGCACTCTTTTTGATAGTTAACAGCAAAGATGAAGCTCATCCTGTGTAACTGAAAAAGCGTCTCGGAAGTTGTGCCTGAAATTTTTCGATCTCTATGCCTGCTGTATCTGTTTCTTTCTTCTGCTGTGCTTTATTTTGACCTTACTCAAAGCCTGTGAGGTCTCCTGCGTCCTTTGAGATATTTGACTCTATGTAATTGCTGCAGTTGCTATTTCAAAACTTATAAAAAAGGAATACAAAATGACGCCTATCCTGTTTTATTGATTATTTTCATTCCTGTGGTTATATGATTAAGGGGGCCAATTCTGCCATGGAATAAATAAGATCTGTGTTTTATTTCTTTGATTAATACTCCTGGAAGCCATATCCTGCAACATTGTGTAGTCGGTCCTATCGCAACTCTGATGGTTCTGGGCACCATAGCTGTTCACCACCATAATCGATGAATTCTGTATAAACAGACTATTTAATAGTAGTTGAGTTGCATTAAGACTTTATACTCAAATCCTAATTTTAATATTTGTAACAGTAATAAATGACAGCTATTCATTTCAAAATAAAATTTATATTTAGTCTAGGGACAGAAATTTTCCTACATAAATTTATCTCTAATTTGATACTGCACATAAGTGGGGAAAATTGCGTTTAACATCATATTCTGTAAAGAATTTGCTCTATAAAAGCTTAAGGATACTTCCCTTTTTTAAGAATAGAAAGGGAAAATATTTGAAGATTATTTCCAAATCAAGTGTTCAGAGTCAAACTTCCTTAAAAAGGAAAATCGTCACCACGTGATCTCGGATCTGCTTGGTTCTTACTCCATAAATAATGGGGTTAAGGGCAGGGGGGATGATAATATAGAAATTAGCCAGGAGGATGTGGATATAACGTGGAATATTGTGGCCAAATCTATGAGTCATAAAGGAGAAAAATGCTAGAGTGAAGAAAGCTAAGATGACACACACATGGGAACCACAAGTATTAAGAGCTTTGAGCCTGGCCTTACTGGATGGGAGTCTGAAGACAGCATGTAGAATCTTCACATAGGAGATGGCAATCAAAGTAACATCCAGAAGTATCATAGAGACAAGGATTAATCCAAATAATATATTGACCTTTATGCTGACACAGGCCAGACGGGCAATGCCCATGTGCTCACAGTAGGTATGGGGTATAATATTATGTCCACAGAATGAAAGCCTTAGAAGGAGAAATACAAGCGGAAAAACCAAAACAAAAATTTTCAGCATTCCTACTCCAGCAATAACACAAATATTTCTGTTGGTGAGGACTGTGTTGTATCGAAGAGGGTGGCAAATGGCAACGTAGCAATCAAATGCCATGGCTACAAGCATGAATGTTTCATAACCTGTAAACAGGTGTATGAAGAACATTTGAGCTAAGCATCCCCCAAAATCAATCTCATTGAGACCAAACCAGAAGATGCTCAGCATTTTGGGAATGGTGGCGGTGGACAAGCCCAGGTCAGTGAGAGCCAACATGGCCAATAAGTAGAACATGGGCTGGTGGAGGCTGTGCTCAGTCTGGATCACAAAAAGGATGATGACGTTCCCCAGAAGGGCTATCAGATACACTGTACCAAATGGGAAGCCAAGCCAGAGTTGCATATTTTCCAGGCCTGGGATTCCCAACAGCAGGAAGGATGAGGGGTGAATACATGAGATATTGGCTGGAGACATACTGACAAGGGCTTCTGATGGTCACACTCCACTCATTTGAAGAAATATTTAGTTCTATAAAGGCTTCCCAAAGTCTCACCAATATTGCTCATACTGAATAAGAACAAAAAAGATGTAATTAGTATATTTTCTCCAGAAATACAGAAGAATGATCATGTTTTCCCTTAACTTCTCTTCCTCTCATTTACTTTCATTAATACATATGACAAAGGAAGAAGAATATTGCTTAAGAAATGAATAGATATTTGGACATTGGAGGAGATAATCTAAATTAATTTTAGTGAGAATGTAGACCAAGCCAGCTGATATAAGATCCTATATGAGGTTCTAACTTTTTGAAATACTTAATTACAAATTATGAGAAGATACACACGTTAATATCCCACTGATAAATGGTTACAATCTGTGAGCATTGACAATATTGTAGATTTCAAAAGCATCCTTTGTGATTATTTGTTTAACTAGAAATAAGAGTCCAATATATGCCTCTGGGCATTTCCAGTTATAACCAATGGACCTTTATTCCTGCTATTTTAAATGACTTATCCTTCTTTCTCAACACACTCATAAATAACTTTCATCAAAATCTAAGTATATTTTTTTGCTGCTTTTAAATTTGTGTTGTTACTTTTTACTATTGCCATCAGCAGATGAAGACGCCTGCTTTCTTCTTTGGAACAAGGACCTTGCCTTCTGAAGCCACTGATTTAATAAAATTCAATGCAACATAATTAATCTTTAGATGTAAAACCACCATTTTTGGAGAGACTGACTCAAGCTTAAAACATTGAGTGAACCCTTTGGGTTTGCCATTTATTTCCCCTATTTCTCACAAGAGACAATTTGGGCTCACTTCATTTCTAAACAATCCATATTATTTCCAACTTTGTCCCAAAATGGGGAACCATGGATATTATTAATATTGTTATTATTGTTATGATTATTATCCTTACTATTGTCACTGCTATTAGAAGGAAGAGAATAATTATAAAAATAATAGTATTAAATAGCATTTAATATTATTTATTTTGATTTGAAAAGGAAATTTCATACAAATTACATCATGTGCTACACACATCATCCACATGAGGGAAACAGAACAGATTCTGGTTCCTGAATAAGTGGATTTGTTTTATGTCTGGATCACAGGTGCATGTCTCCATCCTCAAAACAAAGTTGCTTTGTTACAGTCATCCAGCTCTCTGACTTCCTGGTATTCCTAGGGTTCTGCTCAAATGTATTTATTCACTGGAATTTCATTTAGTCTCAGACACTTATCCCTTTATTCACTTTCTTGAGCTCTGTTGCGAATCATGATCAGTATCATCAGGTTTCTTCTGAATTTATTCTTCCTCATTCTCTACTACCTCTTGCATATTTAACTAATATGACTGGTCTAAATTCACATTTCTAAAGAAGAAGGAACCAAAGATGAATGTGTTATTAATTATAATACATAAAGAATAGCCCTTTGAAGAAGATGAAATAGTGTTAATAATGGGAGGCATGACCTCTTCCTAGAAGCCACAGGAGTTAAGATGTTGCACAATACAATATGCACTTCTGATTTTAGGAAATAAAATTTAAGAATAAAAGAGCATGACCATATGAAAGAAAAGAAAGAAAGATGAAGTCTGTAATATGAAAATGTACCTATTAAATGGATCCCCAAGACAGATGTGAGGAAAAGAACCAGCATCATACTCCTATTTATCCTCCACATCTGCACCTTAGTTATCCTTTCTCAGAAAGGCCTTTACTGAATTCAGTGTGTTGGCTTGTAATATTCTCTCCTAGGACCCTCTTCTTCTACTACACATCTCTCTGTATATTTATTTAATCAATGTCTAAGTTCCCATGTAATTGTAAGCTTCATGCAGAGTTGCAAAGGGGGCCAGGGAGTGGTTTTGTTCATCATTACTTCTCTAGCACAGCATCTGGCAGATGGCTGCCACTCAAAACAGTTGTTAATGAAAGACTGAATAAGTAGGTAATTACTAATTTTAAATCTTGGTCAAAAGTCTTTGTATTAGAAGGATGGGAACAGAAATCACACAACATATCTGGCAGTTAAGGATGGAGAAATGAGAAGGAAAACCATAATCCTCATAAGATAGAAAGAAGATAACTCTTTGATCAGAGGTTTTCCTGATAAGGGAGGGCTATCAATGAGGCTGTGATGTAATAAAAGGAGAATATCAGGCAGAAATTCTAGGGAGAGTTTAGTAAAAGCAAGCGATCATAGCAATCAGAAATGGGAAGTAAAATATGATAGATAGATTTATGTATGTATAAGTTAGTCTTCTAATGAAACTCCTGACTATTGTGCAGCTCTAAGACATCAATAAAATCTTTCACGGTGCTGGATGTTCCAAAATCTGAGTTATTCAATCTTTTACAATGTCAACTTGTTTCAGCATAAACACCGTTATTTTCTCTATATTAGAGTGCCAAACAAAAGAATTGTGCAAGGGGCAAAGGATGATGCCAGAGACTTGTGAAATCTCTAATCAAAGCCCTGTAAACTTGTTAGACTTGTAAGGGAATTCAGGAGGCCTCCCTATAGGAGAGAAATAGACTAGGAGAGAAAACGGGAGAAGAACTGCTGCAAAACAGCCTCATGCTGCCTGTCACCTATGTAGGAGATCCTTATTTCCTCTATCTAGGAAATCTTGATCTCTACATGAAATGAGCAACAAAAGCTCAAGATCTGTGTTAAGACCAGAAATATGTTCCATCAAGTATTCTGCAGTCCTGGGTAAAGGGGGACCTCTCTCTCAGATCAGAATTGTTCCTCTGCACGACACTGAGCAGGCCTACTTCAGGAGCAACTGCTATATGCCAGATATATTTCAACTCAATTAAGATCCACTCTCCCAACCCATACCCAATAGGTAGAGAGGTGGATAGCTACATAAATAAATACATGTTCATGATGTGGGAGTGGGAAAGAGGATTATTTTGCTTTTTCCAAACTAGACCCTGGTATTAGAAAAAACAGTAAAAGATGGATAAACTGGAAGAGCCAGTGAGTAATGCATGATGGAGTCCTGCCAACAGTCATGCTTATAGGAAAGGGAAAGTGGTGTCTTTAAAAAAACCTCTTATTATTATTTTTCAATTGTTTTGTGTTTTTATCTACAGCTTATTTATTTAATGCTAATATCGCTTGATAATATGGAAGACTAAATCTAGAGTGCATATGTATGTAAAAATGTAGCCATATATGCATAAATCAGAATGGAAAAAATGTATTGTATGCTTTTAGGAAGATATATACTATTTGTAATCTGAAGGTATAAAAAATTGCTGCTCTTTACCATCAATGACAATGAAATAAAAATAGAAAATGTATTGATTTGATTTGGAAAAATTTTGAAAATGTCGTTTTTTGGAAATTAAATACCAAAAGCATTCTGAAATAACCACTAACTTGATAAAGTTCAGAAAACTTATGTTAAAAGAGAGAGTTAGAAGTGGAAGGGAGGAGAAGAGAGAGAGAGAAAGAGAAGGGGGAAGACAGAAGATAGTAAACAGAAGAGGAAGAGAGAGAAATTCAACAATACCTCCACAAAACAAATTGTTTGTTTGACTATTTAGTTTCCTTCTTTTTATTTTCCTTATCATTAAAAATAGACATACTTTGGGGCCAGCCTGTTTGTGTAGTGGTTAAGTTCAGCACATTCTGCTTCGGTAGCCCAGGTTTGTGGGTTTGGATCTTGGGTGCAGACCTACATTACTCATCAAGTCACGCTGTGGTGGTGACCCACATACAAAACAGAGGAAGATGGTCAAAGATGATAGCTCAGGGCCACTCTTCCTCAAGCAAAAAGAGGAAGATTGGCAACAAGTGTTGGCTCAAGGCCAATCTTGCACACCCAAAAAAATAATAAAAATAAAAATAAAAAATGAATAAAAATAGATATACTTGTAAAAATTGAGAAAACACTAAAATATACAGAACTACCGGAAATTTGGTAGTTAAGCATGTTAAATATTTTGATTTATCACCTCCAAATTAATATTTGTATCACATATAAAGATAATGAGGGGGTTAAATCAATAGATCCAAGTTCAGACTTTCCCAATCTATATGTTCAAATACATATAGCAGCCAAGGCTATACTCAACTCACCAGCTTCAGGTATAGCCAATATTGAAAGAGTCCACCATCCTGAGTAATCACTGCTCCAGTGTCTCAGCATTGTAACTGTAGTTCAAAGAGGAAAGTTTATATTAAGTTTGAAAATCCTCTCCCTAACCAGGAGTAGTTGCTCTTCTGGGGCTCCATGGGAGGAGAGCATGAAAGATGGTGAATTCACATGTTTATAGGCATAAAAACGCACACAGCAAAGGAATCCTTTGGGACTTGTAAATCTCTTCCTTAGGTTTCCAACTGGCAAGAATTTCTCATTCTCTAACAACCCACCATTTCTAATTACTCTCTTGGCACCAGTCCCACAAGAACGATATCTGAGCCACTCTGTAATTTCCCCATCTTGTTATCCAAAGCTATTCTATTCTCTAATGATTGTTCCTTTTTTTTTTTTCAGCAAATATCACTTACTGATCTAGAAGTCAAGTAAGCCATTGAGCACTTACTTAGGGCTAAGTGTGTGCTCAGATATGTTTTGCATCTGTAAATCTTTCCCCCAAGAAGCTTATGTTCTGGTTGCGAAGATAATACTAACCACGTATAAATATGCAAATAGTTAGGTTTTAAGTTATGTGGTGCTAACTTTAGAGCTACAGAAATTCAGATAACCAGTAAGACCTCCAGGCTTTCTAATTCAATTTCCTTTAAAAAGGAGTTGGAAGGTGGCACAATAAAAACTGCAAAGTAAAATAGAAACAGATATTATTTGAGGACATCACAGAAAGATTATGTACTGTGTCTAGAATCATAGGAGACTGGTTTTCTTCTGAGAAAGAAAAAAGTAACTCCAACAGCTGTCAGCTGTCAGCTGGTCTGGCACTAACATCTTGATCATGATAATACC